TGACGAGAAGATCATGGAGCTGGAAGAAGAGATAGACAAGTTGCGCTGGCATATTATAGGATTATCCGAAGTCCGAAGAGAGGGGGAGGACACGGTAATCCTCGAATCCGGCAACTTGCTCTATCACCGGGAGGGCGACCATCTGTACTAAGGAGGTGTCGAATTTATCGTCCACAAGTCTCTCTTTAACAACGTTGTAAAGATCGGGAGTGTGTCGACGAGGGTTGCGTACCTTATACTCAGAATCACCAAACGGTATTCGCTGAAGGTCATACAGGTTTACGCACCAACCTCGGCACACCCCGATGAAGAGGTGGAGGAAATGTATGAGGATATCTCTAGAGCCATGCATTCCTCCAAAACCCAATATACGGTGTTAATGGGAGACTTTAATGCAAAACTAGGCACAAGAGAGAACGGTGAGCTGAAAGTGGGGAAATTTGGAATAGGGCAACGGAACCCAAGGGGCCAGCAGCTGGCCGACTTCATGAAGAAAGAGGGACTCTTTATGATGGACTCTTTCTTCCAGAAGCGGCCCCACAGGAAGTGGACCTGGTCGAGCCCCGACGGTTCGACAAAAAATGAGATTGACTTCATTATGACGACCAGACGACAACTGTTCAGTGATGTCTCCGTGATCGCGAGGGTGAAAACTGGTAGCGATCACCGAATGGTTAGAGGCACACTGAACCTAAACGTTAAGTTGGAGAGATCTCGTCTAATGAAGTCAACGCTCCGTCCCCCTCGTGCTCTAATCCAAAGTCCCGAAACCTTTCAGCTCGAGTTACAAAACCGTTTTCAGTGCCTAGAAGACTGCAATGAAGTGGACGATATGAATGACAAGCTCGTGGAAACTGTCCATATGGTCGGAGCTAAGTTCTGCAAGACCCGCCGCAGAAGAACACAAAAACTCTCCGATCACACTCTTAATCTCATGGCTGTTAGACGGGAGATGAAGCTACATTCTTCAACAGACTTGACAGCATACAGGCATCTGAACAGACAGATCTCCAAATGCATGCGGCGGGACTTACGCAACTTCAATACAGCTCGTATTGAAGAAGCGATCGAGCGGAACCAAGGCTCCAAAGTCTTTGCCAGAGATCTGTCTGCCAGAAAGAGCCAACTGTCAAAGCTGAAGACAGAATGTGGCAGCATCGTTTCCGGGACACCTGAGATTTTGAGTGAGATTGAGAGGTTCTATGGGCAGTTGTACACGTCATCGTTGGAGCCACACGCAAGTGTGAGTAACGATCCAAGAGCGAGTCTCATCCGACACTATTCCGAAGATATCCCGGACGTCAGTCTGAGCGAGATTAGAATGGCTCTCCAGCACCTTAAAAACGGTAAGGCCCCAGGCGAGGATGGAATTACAGCGGAGCTTCTGAAAGCGGGTGGAAGACCGGTACTTGAAGTCGTTCAGAAGCTCTTTAATTCCGTCCTCCATGGTGGCATTACACCGGAGGCGTGGAGCAGAAGTGCGGTGGTCTTGTTCTTCAAGAAAGGTGACAACGCTCTCTTGAAGAACTACAGACCGATTTCCCTTCTGAGCCGCGTCTACGTGCTGTTTTCGAGAGTCATTACGAATCGTCTCGCGCGCAGACTTGACGACTTCCAGCCTCCCGAACAAGCCGGTTTCCGAAAGGGCTTTAGCACCATAGACCACATACATACCCTTCGGCAAATTGTACAGAAGTCCGAAGAGTACAATTTGCCACTATGTCTGGCGTATGTGGATTATGAGAAAGCCTTTGATTCCGTCGAAATTTGGGCGGTGCTGCAGTCCCTTCAGCGGTGCCAAGTTGACTGTCGGTATATCGAAGTATTGAAGTGCTTGTACAGTAGGGCTACGATGGCTATCCGAGTACAGAACCAGAGTACGAAACCTATCCAATTGCAGAGAGGTGTAAGACAGGGTGACGTCATATCCTCGAAACTCTTCACCGCTGCATTGGAAGACGTTTTCAAGCTTCTGGCCTGGAAAGGATACGGTATCAACATCAATGGCGAGTACATCACTCACCTTCGATTTGCCGACGATATAGTCCTTATGGCAGAATCGCTGGAGGACCTAAGCACTATGCTCAATGACCTCAATAGTGTTTCCCAACGGATAGGTCTTAAGATGAACATGGACAAAACTAAGATCATGTTTAATGTCCATGTCACACCTATGCCGGTAGTTGTTGGGAACACTAAGCTCGAAGTTGTTGACGAGTATGTTTACCTGGGACAAATAGTCCGACTAGGTAAGTCCAACTTCGACCGAGAGGTCAATCGACGGATTCAACTCGGTTGGGCAGCGTTCGGGAAATTACGGCACATCTTCTCGTCAGGTATACCTCAAACCTTGAAAACGAGACTGTACACCCAGTGCGTGTTGCCAGTGATGACATACGGAACTGAGACGTGGTCCTTCACTGCTGGCCGGATGAGGAAGCTCAAGGTCGCTCAGCGAGCTATGGAGAGGGCTATGCTCGGAGTTTCTCTGCGTGATAAACTTAGGAATGAGGATATCCGCAGTAGAACCAGAGTAACCGAGATAGCCCAACGGATTAGTAAGCTGAAGTGGCAATGGGCCGGCCATATAGCTCGAAGAACCGACAACCGATGGGGAAGAAAGGTTCTCGAGTGGCAGCCTCGTACCGGCAGGCGAAGTGTAGGGCGTCCCCCCACTAGATGGAGTGACGACCTGGTTAGATATGCAGGAAGTCGATGGATGCAGGTGGCTCAGGACCGTGCTTTGTGGCATTCTTTGGGGGAGGCCTATGTTCAGCAGTGGACTTGTGAAGGGCTGTAATGATGATGATGATGATGAATGGCCGATGGGTGCGCCGGCCAAAACAAGAATACCACTGTTGTAGAAATGTGCCAAAAGTGGTTTACAGAAGCTCCTCAACATATAAAGAAGATGGAAATAATATTTCCTGTCGTGGGCCATTCTTTTCTTCCCGCAGATCGTGTTTTCGGGAGAATAGAGAAGTAGTTTCGCAAGCGAGACACAATACTGGAGCCGACTGGTTACACGAATATTATAAAAGAATACTCCAGTCTCATTTCAGTAGGACAAGAATGTCCGGTTAAAGATTGGAAAGACGCTGCCAAAAAGGTTTTAAAACCCGTTGGAACATGGCATGTGCCTTTTATGAAGTTCAAGCGTTTTATATTGAAGCGTTCTAAAATAACAGCTGGAAATGTATTGGTAAAAGGTGAAATACATTATGTTGCTGACGCCGGAGCCTATAGAAATGTCTGTAAAAAGGCAAATATACGAACATGATCAATCCGCAAGATATACGATTGGGATCGGGAACCCTTAAAGCAACAAAAATTAGAGATGTCAACAAATTATTAAGTACTCACTTTGACGCTGACTGGAGGAGTTATGAGATGTTGTCTTTTTACGACAAATTGATACCAAATACGGTACCAGTCGATGACGTGGAAAATGAAGAGGATGAAAATAATGATGTTGATCTAGAAACTTCATGCCAAGATAAAATAATTTTAAATGACCTAATGATTTAATTTTTACCAATAAAATTTTAAAAAAAATGTTACTATCAATTTCTTTATTTATCTCTAGGTATACCCATTACCAACTTAATGATGTTCAAAATAAATACTATTTTCATTGAGCACTTCAAAGTATCAAGTTAGGTTGAATGAAGTATACCTCAAAATTGTCACATCGAAAACAGCAATGTCCATGTTTATCAGATTCAAACCAGCAATATCCGAGCTTCAGTTTCAAATTCTGCTAAGTCCACCACTTTTTCGTCTTTTACATTTACAGGAAGCATTCTTATACTGCAAATAAATGTTTATATGAATTTGAGATACTTATCCTAAACAAACCTGAAAAATGAAATCGTTAGATTAATTCTAGAAAAAAATTACAATAAATTCTCTCCCTTGGCATTTAAAGGCTACTGGACTTAGCAGTTTTTGAAACTATACGCCTAGGATTAGACTAAACGCTCGTTAATTTAACAAATTTTGTTAAATTAACGAGCGTTTAGTCTAATCCTAGCGAATAACAATAGCGCAGTGCGCTTGAACACTTGTCGCGTCGTTAGTGCGCTAAGCGCACTGACGACGCGACAAGTGTTCCAACTGTCCCCTCTCACGCTCTATCACTCCCCTGATTTTAAATTATAAACATAAGATTTTTTTTGTTTTGTATCGAAAATAAACTGTAGTTGCATAATTTCTGGGAATGAAATAGATCTATTTATTAAAATTCCATACATTTACATGTTATAAAATTGGAGTCGAAAACCACCTTTTTTTTTTTCAAAAATTCAATGTCGTTGCGGAGGCTATTACTGTAAATCGAATCAAATAATATTTTACATGTACTAATTTAAGTCTAAAAGGCACCAATTTTTCACTATTAGAAATTTTTGAGAGAGAGAGAAAGTTTTGTTTATTTCAAAACATCATCGATATATTGCGTCGTAAAAGGCCAGTAAGGTGCAATTGTAAGTGTAACGGTTTTACATACCCTACTTTGGTTGAAAAAAAATTATATGTTTTGTAAGATTTGTGACTGTTTTATTTTGTGTATCTGTTTTTTTTTTTTAAATAGTAACGGCGTAGTAGACGGGCGCATCTTAGATGCATGCCCTAGGCGCCATTTTGATCCATACACCTCTGCTAGCAACACACAGCAGACTACATCAGAACACAAGATATGGCGAACAATTTAATTCGTCTTTCCTAATGCGTATAGTAAAGGAGTCTAATAATCTTCCGGCCACTGTCTCTCCCTACGATTACAATCTGGGCTTCATCAAGGCAAGAACAAACAGGCTTTTGTTATGCAAAGACAGTGCGATTTACCATCTAGGGCTTCATCACTACTTACCGCCATATAATATGTAAAAAACCAAATGAAAAATAGTTTTTTTTAATACACGTAATAATTATTGAGTTAATAACGTGTGTTGAGAGAGTGAGACACTGAGACAGAGGTTTGTTTTAATTACTTTTATTATTCATTTTCGTCGTTTACCACCCTTGTGTACAAGACGTGAGTGAGTGTATAGTGCTGGTCTCTGCTTGAACGTGTCACCGCAGTCCTCACACATGTATGAGCGCTGCTCTGAATGTGTCAACTGATGGCCTCGAAGAGTTGACAGCGTCTGAGAATTAAAATATACGAGATATTAAAAATATACCAACACATAGGCTGCTCACTGGTAAAATGGATACACATATTATTTGTTACTAAATAGAATTAGTTACATATACATTTTTAGGCTTCGTATAATATTGGTGAAACCAAGAAAATTTAATATCTGTAGTATTTGCGACGAAAACGTGGCTAGTTTTAAAAATATTTTGAAAAATCCGAAAGAGCACAGTGCAAAAATTAAATGAAATTTTGATGAAAAAAATAAATATCTTTGAAACAACGACGAGACGTCGACGCGTGGTGTGAAACATTGTCAAATATCTTTGAATAAGGGCTAATAATCTTTCGCTTACCAGATGTCACTAGTTGGGACTGAGGTGAGTTTTGTTACACTACATCATTTAATTGAGAAGTTAGTTTTAGATAATATTTATTAGTTTCTAGCGTTTCATATTTAGAATAGAATAAAGTTTTTATTCAATATTGATTACAAGTAATTCTTAGTCATAGTCTTAGTCTTATATGTCATTTATGGTCATTTTTTTTACTTTACCACTGATTCGAAAAAAATCCTCTATCCTGCAGGGCTAGCATTGGCAGGAAACAATTTTATTATCTTTAAAGTAAGTAAAGGTCATCGGCCGAAGTTTGCTCGGACGACGACGGCCGAAATCGGACGATCGAATCAAACACGACCATCATCGTCCGATCAACCGTCGATTCCGAACTTGGGATTTCTCACCAGACTGCCGGTGTCTACAGTGCAAATTGAGTGTATTTATAGTTTAATTTAATCATTCTCACAATCGCGATCAAAGTATATTTATAAGCGTGCTGACTTTAATATCATTAATGAAATGTTAAATCAACAGGACTGGTCGTTTATATTAGACAATATAACACAAATATTGAGACTATAATAGATGGTTTTTATGCAATTATAAATAATTGCATACAAACATATGTTCCTCAGGTTTACCACTCTGGTGTGCACACTTATCCTATCTGGTATAGCAGGCCGTTAATAAATTTATTTAAAGAAAAGATTAAAGTTTACAAACACTGGAAAAAATACAAAAACCCAAACGTCTATGCTCAATTTTCAGACCTAAGACGTAGACAAAAAGAAATGCAGTCTCACTGTTATAATTCCTACATAAAATTTTCACAACAAAAAATTAAAAATAAACCCAAATACTTCTGGACGAAAAAATATTTGTAACTATCCTCAACAGATGACATACAATAATTTAGTTATCAGTAACAATTTTGACATTTGTTCCGCTTTTAAAAGTTTTTTGAGAGAAATTTTAATAAACCCTGTGATCTATATTTACAAGATACGCATAGTAATCAATTGCAAATTGCTACTATACATGACATTAAAATTACCAAACAGTATAGTTAATTTAAATTGTCAGTCAGTTAAGTTAATTAAAAATCTCGACATATCGAAAGGTGCAGGTAGCGACAATATCCAACAATATTTTTCACCAAGTGTGGAGATGCTCTATCTCTTCCTATCTCAGTTATTTTAAATCGATGTTTTCAGGAAGGCTACTTAGTAGTGTTATGCTACTTACATATCATTTTACATTATTTTAAATTCATTTTTCCATTCTGTTTCGATTTTCTGCATTCACCTCAAAACTGGATATTTTACATCACCTTTATTTCCATAGGATCCTGTAACGATTTTAAACCATAAGAACACAATAACAAATCATTTCTACTTCGTATTTTCACATTATCAGCACTTTTAAATTGGTGTCAATGGAGTCTACCTTTTTCGATCTTTTATTTAGTTTTCCGTAACTCTGCAATTTCGGACTTTGTGCGCGCAGGTGCGCTACCTTTTTTCCTATATGAATAATATCTCATTTTTCACTTGAATCTTGCCGTTTTTCTATTACGAGCCTAAAACCAAAATTTGACATGTTTTGACATCGTTGTTTATTTGGTTGTCATGACAATTATATTCAAATTTGCTACCGGTCTGTTGTTTCTACTACGATAATTCCACATAAATACTCTTTCCTCTTGGCCATTTACAAAAAATTTGCGTTTAATTTAAATAATTTTTCCGTACTCTCTAGAAAGGTATAAAAGCCGAACAATCGGTGAAGAAATTCAGTCTCGCTTCAGTTCTCAAATTCGAAGCATCTCCTAAAGGCCTTATCCCGGGGACGCACTGCCCCGGGATCCTGCAAGCCTCTGTCCTGCCTGAAGCCGCTGGATCCTACAAGCCTCTGCTCTGCCTGAAGTCGCCGAATCTTACAAGCCTCTGCTCTGCCTGAAGTCGCCGAATCCTGCACGCCTCTGCTCTGCCTGAAGTCGCCGGATCCTGCAAGCCTCTGTCCCGCCTGAAGTCGCCGGATCCTGCAGGCCTCTGTCCTACCTGAAGTCGCTGAAGATCCTGCAAGCCCCTGTCTTGCCTGAAGTCGCCGGATCTTGCAAACCTCCGCATTCACCCGAGGTCGTCGCCTAGAGACGCCCACACCTTCACCTACGCTGTGCGTGCTCGTTCCAGGCGCTGAGAGCACTTACTCTACACCTTGGATCTTCGGGCTCAACTTCAACACTAATCTTTTTTTTTATTATCTTTTTTTTTTAAATAATTTGTAGATCACGACATCCATTCTCATCTTCATACTCCATTTTGTTATATAAAATTGTAAATATCTTTTAAATCTTAAAATAATATATTTAAGATTTAAAAGATATTTATATTTGTTTTTGTTCTATTTTTGTTGTTTTGTTGCTCTTAGGTTAGATTCTTTTGTATTTAATTGTCGCTTCACGACAACTTTCCTCACATTTGGAAAACAGCCCATATTGAAATAATACCAATTCATAAAAAATGTTTTAAATCAACAATTGTGAACTACCGCCCCATTTCAATCCTGAACGTACTTAGTAAACTATGTGAAAGAGTAGTTCATGCTCATTGTCTGCGCCTAACGTTTTATTAAACATTATACGTCAAGTGTCATTTTTGTCCTCCCACCTCAACACACAAATCATTCATCCAAATTACGAAGAACATCGCTCTCACCTATTCTTATTATTAAATTGTGAACCTGCAAATATATTAAACACTTAATCAGACTCCGTGTTTGCATTTATGTCCAATTCAAGACAAAAAATTGGCGACCGTGACAGGACAAAATATCAAGAAATAAGACGATTTTTCAAGACGGTTAGGACGCCGGTCAATTATTACACTGCAGCCACCTATCGTCTCAAAAACTTTTTACCACGGGATATTTTGAAGAATTAGCCATTGCAGTCATCGCCGGACAGTGATCAGCCATCAGCGTCGCTCCGGAGCCAGACCAATGCAGCTAAGTGTCTTCCTATAAATTCCCGTCTATATAACCCTAAATTCCCATTTTATCCTTATTTCTACTTGTGTAGTTTATTTGCAATACATTACGTTATATTTTGAATACATATATACTAAATTCAACAATATAATTGTCATATTTTATACAATTCTAACAATTTTCAATATTTTTTTTCAAAAGTGGGTACTTTCATATCATTACATTTCTTTATTCATTACGAAAATTTTATCGTTTTATCCCGTACATATTATCTCCCCTTCATACATATTATTTCTAGACTTTTCACCACGGTTTGCCGAACATTCCAGGGTACGAGCTGTGATCGTACATTACCGTTGCCGCGCAACAATTGCAACAATTGCTACGCCTGCCTACTAGATGACGCCAAGAGGGGAACGTGAGCTAAAATTTATGTTTTTATTTTTTATTGTCCTTCATCATAACATTATTTATTTATTTCTTTACAAATTTAATTAAACTGATTTTAAGATATTCAAATTAACTTAAAATTTTTAGTTTCAAATTTTTTTATAAATATTTTACTTGCAATTTTAACTTTAAAATATGAACAAAAATAAAGATTTGACTACTGAAACAAGTGCTAAAGACATGCAAAATTTTCAAGATTTGCTAGTAAAACGTAGTGCTATAAGGGAACAAATTACGAAATTTAAAAATTATTTGGCTAATTTATCATCAAGAGAAAATTTAACCGCAATTGAATTATCGGAATTAACGTTAAAACTTAACAAATTTGAATCGTTATTAAATAAATTAGATGACTTGCAAAATCAGATAGAGGTGTTAAGCTCTAACTTAGATAGCGAAATTGATGAACGGGACAATATTGAACAATTGTTTTTTTTTCGAACATTGCGTGACACATTTTTATCGTTTATTCATAATAACGAGCGTATCCCACCTTTACACAAATTTCATTACCTAATTTCTTATTTAGAGGGCGATGCATCTCGTATCATTTCGAATTTGGAAGTATCAAGTGCTAATTACATAACTGCCTGGAATTTATTGTATGAACGCTATAACAACAAACGGCAACTTATCAATCACCATTTAAATTTTTTATTAAGTCTTCAAAAATTATCACGAGAATCAGTTATGTCACTTCGATTTATGGTTGATCACGTCACAAAAAATTTGCGCGCGTTAGTCAGTTTAGGGCAGCCTACTGATAAGTGCGGTGTTCTGATCTTGCATATTATGAGTTCGCGACTTGACAGCCGCGGTGATCATAGAATTTATGATTGCGCTAAATTTAAAGCTAAGAATGTACATAATCGCATATCTGAAGTTAACAAATTAAGGTTATGTTTAAATTGCCTACGCTATGGCCACAGTGTGCGTGATTGTAGATTAGGTCCATGCCGCGAGTGCAAGAAAAGACATAACACACTTTTGCATATACCACTTCCAAGTGATAAAGGTTCTGATAAGAATGTTACTACATCCTGTGCTACCATATCGGAAGAAACCGTAGCCAACTTTATTCAACAAAACTCGACATACGTTTTACTGTCTACTGCAATAATCGAAATATCAAATCCAAATACAAATAAATCTATACGAGTGAGAGCACTATTGGACTGCGGTAGTCGGTCATCTTTTATAACTCAATCTCTCAAAGAAAAACTATCGTTAC